ATGTGCGTGGGCCGGCTCTGGTGACTCAGTTCATGGAAAACGGTTCACTGGTGGGGCTGCTGCAGCCCCACTGTCCTCGGCCCTGGCCGTTCCTCTGTCGCCTGCTGCAGCAGTTGGTGCTGGGGATGTGTTACCTGCATAGCCAGAATCCAGTGCTTCTGCACCGGAACCTCAAGCCCTCCAACGTCCTGCTGGACTCAGACCTGCACGCCAAGGTCAGCCCACCCATAGCACAGCCCAGCCTCTGGACACAGTCCTGTCCCAGAACTGTTCTAGCCCCACCCACTAGACACAGAAACTGCTTCAGCTCTGTCTGCTGCATACTCTCAGCATTTCCCTTGGGACACAGGTGTCAACGCCCACCCAGGAGCCATGGCCCCTACCATACCATGTGTTTGAGACCCTGACCAACACGGTCAGTTCCACAGGCCCACCCACCAGTCCCTCAAAAACCTCATGGCTGACCTAGCTGAGGAGACTCAGACTTTGACCCAGCCCCATGAGAGGGTACCCAGACCTCCAACCCAAGGGCCCTACTGGTCCTCCCATTCCCCTAACCCTCAAAACCCCCTTTACAAAGCTGGACCTGCACCTTGTGGTGGGAGAGGGAATTCTGAAAGTTGCCTTACCTGTCCATCCCCAACCTTCCCTTCCTCCCTCCCTTTCCAGCTGGCAGATTTTGGCCTATTCACATTTCAAGGAGGCTCAACGTCACTGGCAAGATCTGAGGAGTTAGCCCTAGCCTACTTGGCCCCAGAACTGTTGGCTGATGTAAACCGGAGAGCCTCCATGGCTAGCGATGTCTACAGGTAAGGTACCCACTCTAAACACACATTCCAAATTTCTATACCTCTCTGGACCCTTCTAGGGGCCGGTATATGGGAAAGTAGTCTTGCCAGCAGTTTGCTCAGGTCTCAGCTTTGTGTCTCCTGCAGCTTCGGGATCCTAATGTGGGCAGTGCTAGCTGGAAGAGAAGCTGAGAGTAAGACTCTAGGCACACACTGGGATCCTTAACTCCAGGTGCCCTCCTCCTGCAAGCCTCCAAACCCTCTTCTTCCAGCTTACCTGCTCAGACTGCCTGACTTTCTCCTCACCTTGCCTTGGACTACACTCCTTTCCCCTTCCCATGGTGGAGCAAGTGGCCCTTTATACCCTGAATGTCTTTTCTTCACATCCTCCACCCCCACTCCAGTAGTGGCCCAGAAATCAGCAGTACAGGAAGCAGTGTGTGAGAGGCAGATCCGGCCCCCATTGACCAAGCTGCCTCAGCCCGGCCCAGAGACTCCTGGTTTGGAAGGACTGAAGAGGTTAATGCAGCACTGCTGGAGCCATGAGCCCAAGGACAGGCCCTCCTTCCAAGGTGAACTGGCCATTTAGCTGTCAGCCAGGGTAGGCCTGGATCTGTCAGCAGGGGGCTTCTCCCTGGGAAGGTTTGGCTCAACTGCCACCCCACTCTGCTTGTTTCCAGAATGCCGACCAAATACCGAGGAAACCCTCAATCTGGTAAACAAGGAGATGGATGCCGCAGTCTCCATGGTGAGTGTCCAATGCCATCCCCAACCCCAGAGCGGAGCAAGGATGGCACAACATGGCTCTCTTGGCCACCCAATGACTCCCCACTGACCACTGTTCTTTATGCATGCCTTAATCTTTGGCCCCACTCTCCCCACCTCACCACTGAGTTCCCAGGTAATGGATTATGGACCAAGAGATTCTTTCCTTGGGTTTACACTGGCTCTCCCACTTCCATGCCCAGAACGCTCCTTTTATCCTTGCAGGTGAAGAAGTTCCTGTCTGAGCACAGGGGTAGCAACAGGATGTTGTCTGCCCCCAAGCCAGGCCCAGGAGGGACAGAAACGGATGAGCCTAGGGGAACCACAGGAAGCCATGATTCTATAGCCTCTGAAATGTTGAACAAACTAAATCTGAAGGAGGCCCCCGGCTGTGTTCCTAAGAAATGTACAAATCTTCCTGAGAGGATCAGGACACAGGGAGACAAGGTTCAGCCTTCCTGGAGAGCAGGGTTACCTTCAGCCTCAACAGCCCCATCTCCCCAAACTCCAGAGACCTCACCTTTCAGAAATCATACCCCCAGCCCCAAGTTGGCTTGGACCCCAGGTCCTGGGCCCAAAGGGAATCAGGTGAGACCCTGGCAGAACTAGAGGATGCACTAGGAATCCTGTGAATCCTGTCCCCCTCGCCAGGGAAAATTTGGGGCTGAAGGGGATGCAGCAGGGGAATAGGCCCCAGGACAGGGAGCCTAAGAGAGCTGTGTTGTTCGCAGGGGGCTAAGAGACATGGCACCAACCGGCCAACCAGGGCACCAGGGCTAAATCCAATACCAGGTACCCACTCCCCACTCCTTCCTTTCTCCTGCTTAATTCTTCCCCTGGCTTCTTCCTCAAGACCATATATAGATCCAGGGTACCTTGGGTAGCAGGGGAGAGAAAGGGCTAGTGGCCAACTACCCCAAACTTCTCGTTTCATAAAATGAAGAAACTGACACCCACTGGGACTAGATCCCACTGAGGTTACACAGCAAAGCCTGGATTTGCCCTGAGCTTCCTGACTTTCCCCAGCACCAGCTCTGTGAACCCCTATCTTCCGTTGTTGCTATACTGGTCCAGAGGGGCTCCTGGAAGAAAAGACCCAAATATCAGGGTCTCAGACATTAGTTGCCACTCCTTTTGAACTTCTGCAAATGGGTTCTGAAGGGGCAGCAGGAAGGGGAAGGCCAAGGCATGCCTTGACCCAGCCACAGGCCAGCCTAGAGACCCCATACTTGCAATTCCCCAGGATGGACACAAGGTGCCGCTGCCCCTCCACCCTGCTGCTCCTCCTAATTTTGAGGTCCTCACTACTTAACCCTTCCACTAACCCTGCAAATTTCTCTTAAAGGGCCGCCATCTGTTATCATAAGTGACAGCCATGCGGTACAGGTGGGAGACAACAACTACTTGATTATACAAGGAGGAACTGCCCTGGAGTGGGCTGCAGGGCCAGTACAAAGCAGGTTCTGAGCTACCTCTTGGACTTGAAGCAATTAACTGAGACTTTCTTTAAGGGCCATCTGGCCTGCAGCCAAACTGACTTTGTGCAAAGAAGAGTCAATAAACGTGGTGAATTTTTTTTAAGTTTATTTATTTTAAGAGAGAGAACACATGAGGAGGGGAGGGGCAGAGACAGAAGGAGAGAGAGAATCCCAAGCAGGCTCTGTGCTGTCCGCGCTGAGGGGGGTGCTCCATCTCACAAGGTCATGACCTGAGCAGCAATCAAGAATCAGAAGCTTAACCAACTGAACCAGCCAGGCACCCCCACGCATGATGGATTTTTAACCAAAGCGTCATACTTGGGAGGCTAATGCTTAGGCCAGGCCCTGGCAGCTGAAATGTGGCTGGGAGATCCGGGAGTTGACAGAGAGGGAACCCAAGGCACTGCTGTCTAGCAGAGGCCAGAAGCGGGATGCTCAGGGCTGGGGGTGGGCAGTGTCATGGCACACAAGGTCAGGGCCCAGCTGGTGGCAGGAAGGAATCCCGGTCGCCTGGCTCCTGGGGCTGCTCTAATCTCTGGGTGGAGCACTTCCTCTACATCAGGCAAGCGCCCACCCTAAACCAAAATTCTGGTGATAGTCTCCCTGCCTACTTTTCTTCTGGGCTTTGGAGACTCCGCAGTGGGGTCTTGGGAAGAGGGCTCTCTACGGGCATCCGCAGACCCAGGCACATCTCTTGCCCTGCAAGAAACCCCCAGCCTCTTGGAGGTCAGCCACCCTACTTATTTGCCTCCACCACAATTACTCACCACCTACACTCACCTGCTCCTTGCTTCCGAGCCCTTTGACTCCCAGCTGGTGTCAGGAGTAGAAAGCCACGACTCCACAAAGCTACACACAGACGTGCCTCCTCCCATGGAGCTGGACTCCATGGGAGCATGGACAGTTCAGACTCCACCACAGCAGCTCATACAGGCAGGAGGAGAGGAGAATGGGAACACCCTTCCATCCTGACGTGAATCCTACCCCCCATTCGCCCCCACATTCTTCCTTACATTCTTGCCGGCTTTCACTCCAGCTGTCCTGCATTCTCCCCACGTCCAAGGGTTCCACTCCGATTTCCACACTTGCTCTTCAGCCCGGCCTACGCCACCCCTTCGCATCTCCCACGGTCTGCATTCCCTTCTTGAGACGGCAGAAGGGGGAAGGTGACGGTGTTAGGGGAGACAATGAGGGAGGGAGGAGGCCTGCGGAGTCCGACTCGACTCTGCACGGGAAGGGGCCGGGCAGTCCCATCGGGGGAAGTGGGAGGGGTCCCCAGGCGCCGGGAGGGAAGCGCCTGCCGCCCGGGGCTCTGAGCCACTAGCTTCTCGGGGATCGGGACTCCGCGACCAGCTGCCCGAGCTCCCTCCTCGGGCGTAACCCATTCAGCTGCGGCAGCATCGCGGGCAGTGAGTTTGGGGAAAGGGGGAACCCGAGGCTCCTTTGCTTCAACCGCAAATCCCGTCCCACCCGGCCTTGAGGCTTTTGCTAGGGCACCTCAGGCAGTCTGGGTTCGAGGGAGGAGGAGCGAGGGATGGGGCAGTCCCCTCACCGCCAACTGGGAAAAGGCTGAGAGGCCACAGGGAGTGCCTGGAAGGTGGGATTGCCGCGAGGTTGGGGAAACGGGATGGAAGTGGCTTGGACCCAGTGAGAGGGGCACAGTTGGGGCCGGCTGGGGCCGCAGGCGGTAACGCGGCCCCTGGCCCTCCCCAGCCCCGGGGCCCGCCCTCCACCCGGGCGACGAGGCGGGGGGCAGGGAAGACCATGGCCCGCCTCTTCAGCCCCCGGCCGCCCCCCAGCGAAGACCTCTTCTACGAAACCTACTACAGCCTGAGCCAGCAGTACCCGCTGCTGCTACTGCTGCTGGTGATCGTGCTCTGCGCGCTCCTGGCGCTGCTGGCTGTCGCCTCCGCCAGCGGCCGGGTGAGCGGGGAGGGGGGCGGCTCTGGTGAGGGGCGCCTTCCGGAGGGTGGTGGGAGGGTCACTGCCTAGGGGGGCGTTTTCGGAGTTAGGGCTCGGGAGGGGCCTGCTTTTCCATATGCCTTCTTTGCTGGAACCCAGGAAAGCCTTACTAGGAAATGTAGTGACCCTGGACAAGTCACTCCACCTCTGGGGCCACATTCGCTGGGCTGCTGGGAGAAGGCTGAGCCCTGGGGGTGCTTCTAATTTCTCTCAGGGTACTGACAGGCCTTCTGAGCTTCTGTGATCTACTGGTTCTAGAGTAAATGCAACACCGGATTTTCCAATTTTCCAGAGGGGAAATTACACTGGGCCCTGTGGGAATCCGTTTCCTGGTTTTCTTTCTTTCATAGGGGTTGTGGGGCAGTTGTACCCATAGTCTCCCAGAAGGCACCCTCCCTCCCGCTCACATTTAGTCCCAAAATAAACCCATTTCCAGTTTCTAGTTTCTTTTTTTTTTCTTTTTCTTTTTCTTTTTCTTTTTCTTTCTTTCTTTATCTTTTTTATTTATTTATTTATTTTTTGAGAAAGGGGGTCTTCAATTCAATTCCATTTCTGGAAATATCCTGCTCCAAGTTTTCTTTTCACTTTTTGGAGGCAAGTTGGGAAAGCCAATAAACAGACCAATTCTTGCTGGTCCTCGAAGTCCAGGAAGAGGTGGGAACACAGGGCAGGGACAGCGGTGGGAGGCCTACACCCAGAGGTGGGTGGCAAAAGTGTAGTGCTCCCCCCTAGCCTGACAGGAGGGAGGTTCCAGGTGCCCCCTGCTGCTGGAGCACTTCTTGGGTGGGTGGATGGGGATCAACTCCCAGACTTGTCCCCAGGGCAGGGAATCTCCTGAGCAAACTGGTTCATTCCTAAGTGCCTTCTGTAAGGTAGGATTCTTTGGTTGCTTCAGGACCCCTGGCTGGTGCTGGAATTCCTATTTGACAGACTAGAAAGCTGAAGTTCAGAAAGGTCATGGATTCACAAATGGGCAGTATGGGTTCTGAGCCAGGGACTCTGGATAGATGGCCTAAGGCTCAACCACCCCTGCAGCATGCAAGTGAGATATTAGGTTGAACCCTATGAGACCCCAGGCTCTGTAGATTAAAAACAGATTATTGGTGACTTCCTATGGTTCAACCTACTACAAATGGCAAGTCGAGGTGCCCTGTCTTCCTTTTGCTACTTGAGTTTGAGACACATTTCAGAAGTGGCCTGGGGGGGGGGGGCTGCCTGTTCTTCTTCAGCTTGGAGGCGCTCCCCCATACTCCACACTCCAGTCTTGCTGCAAGCACCCTCTCCTCGCAGGAGCTAGCTTCAGACCCAGGCTTCCTGACCACTGTGCTGTGCGCGCTGGGTGGCTTCTCGCTGCTCCTGGGCCTGGCGTCCCGGGAGCAACGACTGCAGCGCTGGACACGTCCCCTGTCGGGCCTCGTATGGGCAGCGCTACTCGGGCTAGGCCACGGCTTCCTGTTCACTGGGGGCCTGGTGAGCGCCTGGGACCAGGTAAGAGGAGCGGCAGGTGGAGCAAGGGGCAGCAGGACAGCCAGGCCAAGAGGAGGGAGCAGCCCAGCTGCTGGGCTGGCCGAAGCCAGCAGCTTCCTGTGCCCTTCCGCCCCCAGGTGTCCTTTTTCCTCTTTGTCATCTTCACCGTGTACGCCATGTTGCCCTTGGGCATGCGGGATGCCGCTGCTGCGGGCCTTGCCTCATCGCTCTCCCACTTGCTGGTCCTTGGGCTGTACCTTGGGCCTCAGCCTGACTCAAAGCCGGCGCTGCTGCCACAGGTGAGCACACCCATAGTACCTGCTGCGCAGCGGGGGGAGGGGGCGGCCCCGCTGCGGCGCGCGCGCGCGCCGTTAGTTCCTCTGAGCGTCCACCAACTTCTTGCTGAGCTGGGACTCCAGGGTGAGGCGCCCGCTAAGCACAGAGGACAAAGACATACACACCCACACAGTGCGCTCATAGGGCTGGTACACCAGGGCAGCCCGATGCCTGCAGAAACCAGAAGAGGCCTCTGGGTCCATGGGCAAGTGAGCTCACCTGGGGACCAGAGTAGTGGGGACAGATGCGGATGATAGAACCTTCACAGAGAATGTAAAAGTCGGAGATTGAGTGGTTTTGCGCTGCGAGGGGCGGGGGGCGCCGGCGGGGGGTAAATACTGGAGTAGTATTCCAGGCAGAGGAAACATAAGTGAACGATTTCTAGACCTAAGAGGCCATGTTGGTGCACAGCCAAGTCTAGAGCAGGGGTATTGGGGGAGGAGAAGCGCCCCCTACGGACCCCACAGTGTAGCACAGATTGCCTGGAAATTCTTGGGTCTCTAACTGTGGAGTCCTCCTCAAGCATCTTGGAGACCAACTCCAGGTATGCACTTAATCACCCCCACCGCCACCCATGGCCAGCATCCTCTGAGGCTGACCCTCACCCACAGCTGGCAGCGAACGCGGTGTTGTTCCTGTGCGGGAACGTGGCTGGAGCGTATCACAAGACGCTGATGGAGCGCGCGCTGCGCGCCACGTTCCGCGAGGCACTTAGCTCCCTGCACTCGCGCCGGCGGCTGGACACCGAGAAGAAGCACCAGGTTCGCTGGGCCTGGGAGGCTGGGCCAGACTGTGGTGTGAAAAGGGGTTGTTTGTATCATTCAGCCTTTGCAAGGCGAATGACTTTCGGCAGATCACTTACCCTTCTCTTTCCTCCTTTGTAAAATGTGGCTACCGCCCACCTTGGAAAGTTGTGTTAAGTCTCAAACAAACTGAAGCCTATGAAAGCACTTTTATGATAGTAAACAAAGAACTCTTAATTCTGGCATTGGTTCTGGGAGTTCAGTCCCCAAAGGTGATTAGTGCAGGGTGGGATGTTGGAGCCCCAGCTCTATGTGATGGGAAGGATCTTGGGGGAGTACTTTGGGGAACACCTAGTGGGACTGGGGAAGTGCTGGGTTCCTAGTTCGTTGGGAGGCTGGGACTTCTGGCTGTAGGTTGCAGGAGGGTTGGTGTTCATTGTGACCTCCTCCAGGAACACCTTCTCTTGTCCATCCTTCCTGCCTACTTGGCCCGAGAGATGAAGGCAGAGATCATGGCACGACTGCAGGCTGGACAGGGGTCATGGCCAGAAAGCACCAACAACTTCCACAGCCTCTATGTCAAGAGGCACCAGGGAGTCAGGTATGAGAAAGGATGGCCCCAGGGAAGGGGGCTGTGGGCTGAGATCCTGGCCCCACTGACACAGTCTGCCCTGCCCAGTGTGCTGTATGCTGACATCGTGGGCTTCACCCGGCTGGCCAGTGAGTGCTCTCCTAAGGAGTTGGTGCTCATGCTCAACGAGCTCTTTGGCAAGTTCGACCAGATCGCCAAGGTCAGAGGGGGCCTCCCTCCCCACCCAGGGATCTTCAAGTGCCCCACCCTGGAGAGCCCCTTCCAAGGGAAACACCTGCCTCCTCAGATCCCAGTCCCACTTCAGAGCCCATGTATTCCAATGGAAGATATTCCAATGGAAGTAGGAAACCCTCTCAAACAACCCCAGCTCTGGAGCTGCTCACCACACACCTCTAACCTGGAAGAGACTTGTCAACAACTCCACAAATGTCCCAACCACAACACCCCCAGATATGTTCAGAGCCCCGATGTAGGTGTCTCTGGACACCACAGCCAAATCTAGGGGGATGTTCAGATGTTCTAACCTTAGGGAGCCCTTCCAAGGGAAATGTCTGCCCTGTGTAACCTCAGCCCAGTCCAGCCACCTGTTCAGACCCCCAGGGATGCCCCCAACAAACCTAATCTTGGGTGTCACCCAGAAAACCTCTGTCTTGAGGCTACTTTCATATGCTTAAATCTGAATACACCCTCCACATGCCAGAGCTGGGGGAGAGCCACAGACCTCAGCCAGTCCCATAGCAAGTTGAGAGAGTCCCTAGATCTGACCCAGAGACTTCCGGCCTCAGAGGTTCTTCAGGAATACCACATTTGTTCCCACTCCTCCCAGCTCCCTCGTACCTCTGGCCTCTAACCAGGTGCCCCCCTTCCCCTGCACACACACACACACACTCCCAGGAGCATGAATGCATGCGGATCAAGATCCTGGGAGACTGTTACTACTGTGTCTCTGGGCTACCGCTCTCCCTGCCAGACCACGCCATCAACTGCGTGCGCATGGGGCTGGACATGTGCCGGGCCATCAGGTCAGCTCAGGTGGACGGGCAGGAGGGGTAACAAGGGATGGATATTGGGGAGGAGCAGACAGGGTAGTGGAAGTCCTCTTAGAGGGAGGGAGGGGTGTGGCATGGGTAGGGATGAAGGCAGCATTCAAATTGTCCCCTACATATCCTGCTCAGGAAGCTCCGGGCAGCCACTGGCGTGGACATCAACATGCGTGTGGGCGTGCATTCGGGCAGTGTGCTCTGCGGAGTCATTGGGCTGCAGAAGTGGCAGTATGATGTCTGGTCCCATGATGTCACACTGGCCAACCACATGGAGGCGGGTGGCGTGCCAGGGTGAGATGTGGGGCTGCAGGAGGCCACAGGAGGAAACCAACCGGGCCTCCCACATGCTGTCATCCTGTTCATAGTTTCCTAAAATGAGCACAATCCCACGTGGGGCTTAGGGAGATCCTGGCGTGCAGGGAGTGGGGTCGGGAGACACCTCTGGTAGCACAGGGCCTTGCTTAAAGTCAGACCTCCAGGAAGGCTCCTTGAAAGAAAGGAGAGGTTTGCAAGCCCTCCGTCCTGACTCCCACTGCCCCCTCCTTCCAGACGAGTGCATATTACAGGGGCTACCCTGGCCCTGCTGGCAGGGGCTTATGCTGTGGAGGATGCAGCCATGGAACACCGGGACCCATACCTTCGGGAGCTAGGGGAGCCTACCTACCTAGTCATCGATCCCCGGGTAAAAGCCCAGCCTGGACCCCATGGGCTGGCCCATCCTAACCACCCACAGCCAACAGGCCTGATCTCTTTTCCTACACCAGAGACTGAATTCCTGGGTCCCAGTGTGTGCGTCAAGGGGGAGGTGACACAACCTTCCAAGAGGTGTGGGGAGAATGTGGAAAGCATTTGTGAAATTGACTTTCAGCCCTCCTATGCCCCAGGCTGAGGAGGAGGATGAGAAGGGCACTGCAGGAGGGTTGCTCTCCTCTCTCGAGGGCCCCAAGATGCGTCCGTCGCTGCTGATGACCCGCTACCTGGAGTCCTGGGGCGCCGCCAAGCCTTTTGCCCATCTGAGCCACCTAGAGAGCCCTGTGTCCACCTCTACCCCTCTCCCGGTAAGTGCACTCCACTGCGAGCCCTAGCACTTACATAACCCCACCCCACTGCCTCTCCCAACCTCCCCCCACCCATCCATTGAGTCACTTGATGACATCCTAAGGTCCTGAACTGTCTGGTTGCCCCAGTCACTGGTTCAGGCTTTTCCTTACCCTTCTTTCCAGAGAAAGGGCAAAGGTCGCTGCCCTCTGAGCTCACTTGAGATGCAAAATCCTATAGGCACCATGTTCACTGTTCCCCAAACTCCACTCAGGAAGCCTTCCCTCAGTACCCCAAAGGTATAGACCATACTTCCTCTTGGCTCTGAATCCACCGCTCACACCCAGTCCCACCAGGAAATGTCTCTGTTGAATTCCCTTCCTGAAACTGCACACTCTCTTTTTTAATCCCCACTAGAATTGGGAAGGTGGGGGCAAATCAGTTGTTGCCCCTACTCTCAGCGTTTATACAAGGATTAAATGAGGTGACAGTGAAAATCGCATGTGGTCTTGGAAGAAGTCACTCTGAGCAGGCAGGGATTGAGGAGGGAGGGAAGAGAGGTAACCAGGGCTTGGTTGGCTGACCTTGTGCATAGCACCTTCCGGTAATCATGACCCACTAGCTGGTGGAGGAGCCTGGATCTCTCCCACCAGCTGGCTCTTCGTGTTGATGCTTGGTGACAAGCAGCCAGAACACCCACGCATACAGTTACTGAGGCTGTGTCCCCAAAGGCTTGCCCCAAGATTAGGGTCCTCAGCCTGCTCTTCTCCACTTTATCTGATCTTCTCCAAACTTTCCCAGCTACCTTTCTGCAGATCTTTCTCTCTGAATCTTCTCTGCCAGACCCAGTTGGATATATGGGATGACTTCAGAGCACCCTTTCTGTGTTTCATCTCCCCTCCCCACCCACCCCGCAGGAAAACAGGCCAGAGATCCGTGAAACACTGTGGTATGGGGGGGGACATTGGCAGCAGTGGTTTAGGAGAGTACCTAATTCCAATCCTTAACACGGGGTAGGGGAGACATCAGAAGGGTTAAGCGGACAGGAGGGAGAAGAAGAAAGAATCCAAGACTCTGCTGACTATTGCAGGATAGAGTCTCCAGCATGGAGGCAGAGTAGAGGGTGGGCTTTGCTGGGAGCCCAGGAATTGTGAGACAATGTTAGGTGCAAGTGCGATTCCCATGGTGAGAGGCCCCCTAGAACCCATGCCAGACCTCCCTGAAACCCCACTCGTGTGCAGGCTAAGAAGTGTCAGGGTGAAGAAGTAGGAACTCCTGGTTCGAGGGTAGCTCCCAAGGCAGGACCTCACCAGCCCAGAAATTCACTTCCAAGCCCGTGAAGTACCAGGCCCTCAGTCAAATGTTAGAAATCCTGAGAATCACATCAGCTTACATTTAAACAATGGGGAACCTTGGGGTGGTGGGGCAGTGTTGGTGCTAGTATATAACATCCATCCATCCATCCATCCATCCACCCCCACGTGGGTAGAACCCACGAACCACAAGATCATGACCTGAGCTGAAGTCGGTCGTTCAACTGACTGAGCCACCCAGGCACCCTGTTCCTTCTACACTTTTAAAGCACCTACAATGTGGCAGACACTAGGCTAGTTCTAGAGAAGACAGAAATGAATAAATTGTTTTCCCTGTTTTCAAAAAACAGTCATTGAGCAAGGTGGAGAGGCAGGTAGGTAGTTTGAAGAACGTTAGGCTCAGTCCTGGATGCATAGATGGGCTCATACCTAGAACACACCCCTTAATCTCCCTCCCCCCCCCCATACACCAGGTTTTGATTTGGGGGGATGATGTGGCCCCCTGTGACCCTGCTTCCTCCACATGAGCCAGGGGAGCAGAAAAGAACAGTCACAGACTCCTGGCCCTGGGCAGTGGCCGTTGGCTTCATTCTCTTCTTTGGGGCTTTTCTCACCTGCTTTACTTGCCTGCTTATTTTCATATGTTTGCTCACGGTGCGCATTGGTTTTGGTGCAGGAAAGAATGACTGTGACCAGGTTTGTCTCTCTTCCTTTCCCTTTCCCTTTCTTCTAGACTTTTTGTCTTCTGCCCCCACCACTTCCCAGCTCAGCCTGACCACAAGCGAGTCAGAACTTTCTCACTGTCACTTCAGTTTAAACCAAGGACTTTTGGGATTTGTTCAGTCCTTAGGGAAGATGACAGCCACTCAAGCTTACAGAAAATACAGGGTTACCTCACAGGGGGTAGAGACTGAGGAAATAAAAGTATAAAGACCCTGGGTGTCTAAAGAGTCCAGAAGAAACTGTTTTTTAAAGTTTATTTATTTATTTATTTTGAGAGAGACAGAGAGAAGTGCAGGCAGGGAGGGGCAGAGAGAGAGGGGGACGGAGAATCCAAAGCAGACTCCACACTGACAGCACAGAGCCCGATGCGGGGCTCGAATCCACAAACTGTGAGATCATGACCTGAGCTGAAGTCAGACTCTTAAATGACTGAGCCACCCAGGCGCCCCAAGTCCACAAGAAATTTAAAGAATAAATGTGGTTTGATCCTTCCCTTAAGGGCAGATGGGATTTGATGGAGAGAGGAAGTCATCAGAGGCAGGGAAAACACTCATGCCAAATGCTCAAGGCCAAGGACATGTGTAGATATGGAACCCCTCACTGCAGAGAGGCTTCAGGGATGCTCAGCATCGCCTCATCCCCCTCTTTGCTGTGTTCTCCCAACAGGAGAAGGCCCTGGCTTCCTTCAGCCCCCAGTGGAGCCTGGACCGGTGAGGAGTCCCTGGGGTGACCTGCCCCCATCCTTCCTGGGGGTGGGGGGGCTGTACCTGCTTCACCCAGATATGTTGAGGGCCTTCTGTGGTGACAGGCTGGGCTGTCACTCTGCAGGAGCCGTACCCCCCGGGGGCTAGATGATGACCTGGACACTGGGGATGCCAAGTTCTTCCAGGTCATCGAACAGCTCAACTCTCAGAAGTATGGAGAACAGAAGAGGACTGGGAGGGGTTGGGAGCTGGGCTTCTGTGGTACAGGAGGGATGTGCTCCCCTAATGACCCAGAGGGAAGTGGGGGGGCTTCCCTAATCTACTCCAGGGAAACATGCACCTGACCACCCCTCCACCCACCCTGCCCTGCCCTTTCCTCTCCGGGGCTCATGGCCCCCCACCTCCTACCAGACAGTGGAGGCAGTCAAAGGACTTCAACCCACTGACACTGTACTTCAGAAAGAAGGAACTGGAGAAAGAGGTGGGCTGGGGTGGGTGGGGGGTGACACAAGGTTAGAGAATTTTCCAACCTTAGTGCCTTGGCCTTGGGAAGGGGGCAAGCCCTGTGGTCCCACCTCACCTCCAAGGTCTGCTCAGTTTGTGATCCTGGGCTGAGGAGCTTGTACCTCTCTCCAAATGGCTGTCACCCTATAGATTGATTTTCTAGGTGGGGATGGGAGGGAGGAGGGCAGTTCCTTGGAGAACCAGTAGGGGCTACCTGAGACTGAACTGGAGGGTGGGTGGGGAGGCTGAGACACCTGTTCTTGCCTGGAATTGACACCTCCGAGATGATGGGCAGCCCTAGTGGCCCCTGTCTCCACACTGACCCCCCCTTCCCTTCCAGTACCGACTCTCTGCCCTCCCCGCCTTCAAATACTATGCAGCCTGCACCTTCCTGGTTTTCCTTTCCAATTTCATCATCCAGATGCTGGTGACAAACAGGTGAGAGCCCCAGGCAAGAGGGGCCCTGATTCCCATGTATAGACTTTTTGATCCTTGACCCACATTTTCTTCTTTACCGACTTTCCCTTAGTTTCGGACACTGACCCACAGAGGAAACATGTGTTCTGGGGAAACAGTGATAATCATAGCCCTCATTTTACTATCGTACATCTCGTGGGCTTTCTACATAACCCAAGCACTTTCACAAGCCTGTCTCTCAATTCAAAAACTTTTCAATGAAGCAGGTTCTATTTTCAATGAGAAGCCCAAATCTCACAGGAAATGAGCTTAGAAAGTAGGTCCTTGTTTTTAGTCCATGGCTAGGAGGGGCTGCAGGGACTTGTCCAGAACTCAGCCAGGTAGAAGAAGAGCTTTGGCCTGAAGGCCCAGAGACTGGCCTGATGTGGCCTTGACCCCTTTGTGAGCCTCCTGCCCCCTTCCAGTATTGTCCCCACCTTATAGTTCCTGCCCTACCCCACCACTGCCCTAGACCCCTCAACTTTCCCAGAGCTTCAGCAGGCAATGCCTTTCATCAGCCCAGTCCCCACTGGTAGCCAGTTCAGATCCCCAGGACTCCTCCTCCCCACATCTCCCAACTGGGTGGCACAGCAACCTCCCAGCACACAGAGCCGATTCTGACTTTCAAGGCCTCACTCTTATCTCCCTTTAGGCCCCCAGCTCTGGCCATCACCTATAGCATCACCTTCCTCCTCTTCCTCCTCCTCCTCTTCGTCTGCTTCTCAGAGCACCTGACGGTGAGGTGGGCTGGGGGGTGGAGGTGGTGAGCTGGGCCCTCACTGTGACCTGGGTGTCCCAGCCCCACGGCTAAGATTCCTGTGCTCCTTCTGCAGAGGTGTGTCTTGAAAGGCCCCAAGATGCTGCACTGGCTGCCGGCACTGTCTGGCTTGGTGGCCACACGGCCCGGACTGCGAGTTGCCCTGGGCACAGCTACCATCCTCCTGGTTTTTGTGATGGCCATTCCCAGCCTGGTGAGGGCAGTGGGGGGCCCTATGTACCCGATCAGGGCCTGTTCGAGCTGTCAGAAGCTGAAAGGGGACCCCTGGGATTTGGGAGGACAGCCGGAGTAAGGCCAACATTCTGGCAATGTTGGACAAGTATAAAAGAAAAAAATTAATCTGCCACCTGAGCATATCTATTCTGTGGAGGCAGATCTTCACTGTTTAGCTCGCTCATTATGATCTTGTAGCTGAGTTTGGCTGAGTTTTCAGAATTTGTTTTGTTTTGATTATTTTGAACGTTTATTATTTTTGAGAGACAGAGTATGGGTGGGGGAGGGGCAGAGAGCGAGAAAGGGAGGCAGAATCCGAGCTGTGCTGACAGCTCAGAGCCTGACGCAGGACTCGATCCCACGAACCGCGAGATCATTACCTGAGCTGAAGTCAGACACTTAACTGACTGAGCCACCCAGGCGCCCCTCAGTTTTCAGAATTTATAGTCATTCCTAGAATTCTATCCCTGAAAGACACCTTTTGGAAACCCCCCCCCCCCCCCCCCCCGCCGCCAGCCAAGTAACAGAAGAGGAAGCTGAGGCCCAGAGAGGCTAAGTGGCTGGCAAGAGATCACACAGTGGATCCGTGGCAGACTCGTGCTCAGGACACCTGCTCCTCCCATCCCTGACCCCCCAGCGAGGACCCCTGCGCTAAGCCTCCCTCACCAGCCAGGAATACCATAATCCCCCTCTTTGGAGGGGTCTGGCTCTGACCCATCCCTAAGTCAGCTGAACCCCAGCACAAGCCACCATCGTGCCCAGGGAGCTGCCTGCCCACCTCAGCTCTTCACTTCCTTCTGCAGTTCTTCTTACCGGCAGCATCAAACTGCCCTTTTGGGGCTCTCAATGTGTCCTCCGTGGCTTTCAACATCTCCTGGGAGCTCCCTGGGTCCCTGCCTCTCATCAGCGTCCCCGTGAGTATTCCTCACAGCCCTGAAACTCTCTCTCCAGAGCCTTCCTTGGCCCCTCCCCCACCTCCTTGGTTGAACGTTCCATCCTGTGGATTGGGACAGACGTAAATTACACTTGGTGTGTGTTTGTGTGTATGACACCGCCTACTCCCCAGATAGGTCGTGGGCCCGGGGAGGGGCAGGCCAGGAGCCCCGGGATATTCTCCCACCCCTACCTGTGGGATATGCCCCGCCTCTTGACCACCCTACTTGGCCCCATAGTACTCTATGCACTGCTGCGTGCTGGGGTTCCTGTCCTGCTCCCTCTTTTTGCACATGAGCTTCGAGCTGAAGTTGCTGCTGCTCCTGCTATGGCTGGGGGCCTCCTGCTCCCTCTTCCTGCACTCCCACGCCTGGCTGTCCGACTGCCTCATCGCCCGCCTCTATCCGGATCCCTCGGACTCCAGGTGTGCACGGCCACTGGACAGAGGTGCTCAGGCCCCCTGGGAGCGGAGCAGAGCTGTCCTTACCTCCCTGACCTGAACCATCCACCCACAGGGCAAAGGGGGAGGGTGGCTGTGGGCTACATGGGCACTGAGGGTAGGGAGGAGGCCATCGGGAAGGTGCAGGGCAGGGGCAATCCTGATCCGTGGCCTCCTCAGGCCAGGGGTGCTGAAGGAGCCCAAACTGATGGGAGCTATCTCCTTCTTCATCTTCTTCTTCACCCTCCTGGTCCTGGCTCGGCAGGTAAGTCACCCATCTCAGCCCTCCAGGCCTCCCTTTGAAAGGTGAGGCGGGGGTCCCCATATTTGTGACTTGGTCTCTCTCTCACTCTTTCCCTCAAATCTTATGCCTTCAGGGTTGAGCCGAAATAGTGTGCCCATTGGAAGCTTCTAAGTGAACCTTCCTGCTCCGTTTCTTTCTCCTTTACCTCCCCCCCCCAAGGGAGGTGCCTTCAAATTCTCCCTCCCTCATCCCTCCCACCCCAACCTAGGAAAACCCACCTGTAAGAAAGAATCTGCTGCCAATTCTGTCTACCCTAGTTTGAATCTATTTTCAAGGTAGCCTCCCCAGGGATAGTTGCACCTTGAGGCTTCTCTCTAGACTGGGGGGAGGGGGTGTGGTTTAAGCATCAAGGAATGGGGGGAAGGGGGAGCACACAGGAGCTGAGGTTTCCCGTGCACTGTGTCTCCCCTTGGGCCCCTGCTGACCCTGCCAGAATGAGTATTACTGCCGGCTGGACTTCCTGTGGAAGAAGAAGCTGCGGCAGGAGCAGGAGGAGACAGAGACCATGGAGAACCTGACTCGGCTGCTGTTGGAGAATGTGCTCCCTGCGCATGTGGCCCCCCAGTTCATTGGCCAGAACCGGCGCAACGAGGTGACTCCCCACCCCTGACTCCTCAGCCTCAGATGCCACAGGGACCAATTTTGGATGAAAACCTTGGCCCTTGGCCCATCCTCTTTGGACTCCCCCACAGTAGTTAAGTGGTCACCCAAGTCTCTGTCCCTGTCACATAGGTGCCTGACATTTTCATAAGCTCTTAGTCTTTGTCTGCTGAGCACAGAGCCTCTGTGTTCCAAGTTCTTACTTAGAAGGAGCGTCCTCTCCAACTCATGACCACTCCACGCCTTCCAGAAGCTTCTTCAAGTGTTGATGGGAGTTGTGTGGAGGACACAGTCCATCCATCTCTCTGGACCTGCACTATCCGGGATGGTAGCCATTAGCCATGTGTGGCCCTTTAAATTTAAATGAATTAAAATGGAAAATTCAATTCCTCTGTCTCACTGGCCACATTTCAAGGATCTAACAGCTGCCTATGGCTAGTAGATGCCGTATTGGGCATCCCATATGTAGAACTTTCCATCACCACAGGGTTTCCCATTGGAAGATGCTGATCTATATCCTTAAACATCTTGCCATAGACCATCAGAAGGTCACCCACATAGTTGCACCATTTTATTTTTGCCACCACTACTTCACCGTGTCTGCTGTGGAAATGCTCTTGGTCCATCTTGAGGAATGTTAAAAGAAACAGGCCAGGGGCTACTTCACAGCTTCCTGCCCCCACCGCTTGCTCTCTGCTCTCAAGATCAGCAGTAGGTCTACATCTCCTGCCTCCTTCTCTTACAGACACTGGGAATCTTGTCACTGCTCCTGTTTCTAGCTTCACATTGGCTACTAGAAAGCTCAGAGCCAGAATCTAGGACTCACAGGGACTTTATGGCACCCATTTTGTGAACCAACTTCAAATCTTACCTTTATTTTCTTACCTTTTCTTACCTTATCTTACCTTTATTTTCCTTTTGGCCCCTTTTCCCTATTACTTTATCTTCCAAGTTGTAGCTATCTTTGTAAGCTGACTTAGTTGACTTAACACCTTTCGGCAATGAGATATGATAGAAAGATGATTCCCGCTGACAGGATCCCAGCTCTTGAAGAGACTCCCTTCACGTGGCTATGAGGTGATCCTGACTCCAAACCCCTGTCTCTCCTGGAATCGTAATGAGACCCAGTCTTTGACTCCCGAGTCACACATCCCTGGGGTAACCTGGCCCTACCCCTCTCCCTCCTTTCCGATCCTTCTTAAATAGAGGGGTAGGAGTATGGACACAGGGAGGAGGGTCCATGCAGGCTCAGAAGGGGGAAGACCATGACTTGCTCCCTCAACCCAGCATCCCACCCTCCAGGACCTCTACCACCAGTCCTATGAGTGTGTCTGTGTCCTGTTCGCCTCAGTTCCAGACTTCAAGGAGTTTTACTCGGAGTCCAACATAAACCACGAGGGTCTAGAGTGTCTGCGGCTGCTCAATGAGATAATTGCTGATTTTGATGAGGTGACAACTCCAAGCTTCCCCTGGACCCTTTGTCCTGGATGCTAGAATCTCCCACCAGTCCCTCCTGCCAATTTAGTCTCCAGCCAGGGGTCCATCCCCCTCTCCCCGGCCCTGCCACTCCTCCTCCAATCCCCTAGCTCTCTGGAAACTCTGCTCACTATCCACTCTCCCTCCTGCCACCATCCCTGTCCTCACAACCTGGTCCTTTAGTCTCCAAAGGCCTGGGGCTGGGCCTCTGAGAGGGAGGCAGGAGAGAGCAAGAAAGACTGGGGACACAGCTTCCTCTCTATACAGCTGCTCTCAAAGCCCAAGTTTAGCGGGGTGGAGAAGATCAAAACCATCGGTAGCACCTACATGGCAGCTACAGGCTTAAATGCCACCTCCGGACAGGACGCACAGCAGGTACAGAATCCCTTCTTTACCTACCAACCTTCGTCTGGGCTCTTACTGGGGGGTCCTCATTGACCCATCCTGGTGGGCCGGCCCTGTTGCTAGGACGCTGAGCGCAGCTGCAGCCACCTTGGCACCATGGTGGAGTTTGCGGTGGCTCTTGGATCAAAGCTGGACGTCATCAATAAGCACTCTTTCAACAACTTCCGCTTGCGTGTGGGTGAGGACCCTCCCTCGCTAGGGCAGTCTGGAACCTCCTCCTCACCTTCCCAAGCTCTGGCTCCCTTGGGCTCTTTGTTAGCTACTCCCCAGCTCACCCTGGACCCCCTCCAGCCTCATCCCTGGGGATGGAGCATGAAGCTGCTGGGCCAGGAGCTCTGAGGCTCAGCCACCCCTTCCCTAAGCCACACCCCTCCAGGCCCTTTCCTCTAAGGCCTCCAGGCCCTTCACCCTAATTCCTGGAGTGTCCTTTTCCCCTCTCCCTCCTCAAATCCACCCACCCAGGGCTCCTCTCTACCATACCTCTTGTCAGGGTTGAACCACGGACCTGTAGTGGCTGGAGTGATCGGGGCCCAGAAGCCGCAGTATGACATCTGGGGCAACACAGTGAATGTGGCCAGCCGCATGGAGAGTACAGGAGTCCTGGGCAAGATCCAGGTGAGGAGGCTGCATTGGAGGCATGGGGTGGGGGGATAAGGATAGGGCCTCCCCCACACTTCTGACTCACACCCTTTCAATCCCAGGTGACTGAAGAGACGGCCCGGGTGCTGCAGTCCTTAGGCTACACCTGCTACAGCCGGGGTATCATCAAGGTCAAAGGCAAAGGGCAGCTCTGCACCTACTTTCTGAACACAGATTTGGCACGAACTGGACCTCCCTCGGCCACCCTAGGCTGAGACCCCCATCATCCTAAGATCCTCAATAAAAAGACTCTGGTATGATGGGAGCCAATTGGTGTCAGAAGCTTCTGGTATAGCTGCAGATCACCTTCTCCTTGCCTCTCAGCAAGCTAAACTTGCTTCTTCCCAAGCTAAAGTGAGTGTTTGTGTATATGCAAGGGTGATCATGAGTGTGCTGGAGAGGAGTGATTCTTTTTCACAAGCTCAAGAAGAGGACTGCCTCAGCCTCCCTGCCTGATTCCAGTATTTTGTACACCTTGGAAGCATAAAGAAATTTAGCCACATGGCTCAAAATAGGGATTTGTCTTTTCCTGCTCCCCACCCACAAATATTGGAAAGGAATAGCTGAGAATGTCATTTGACCTTTATTCATTCTCTGTATACTAAATAAGCACCTATTATGTGCTTACTATACAGCATGGATGAAAGGCTTAGGAGACGATCTATCAGGTCCCTCCCTGTTTCAGCTGCTGTTGTCAAGTTGGAGCATACTTTCCAGCCAAGACCTGTAGACGGTTTTGGGATTCTCTTGTTCACAGATCCCTCAAATGCCCTCTTGCTTGCTTCTGCATCCTTCTGTGCAGATGCTGATACTATGTAGATCTTGAAGCATCCAAGGTTCACGCCTACCTCCTATTTGTCGTAGACTCTGGGTCTGGAGTTCTCTCTTGTTCAGCAAGAGAGAGGATGCAGAATTAAAATGTGAGAGAGGCTAATGTTGGGGAGGAGACAAGAGCCCCAAGTAAAGATCCTTGCTCCGTTTTTATTAGGATCAGAAGGCTTACGAACGTGATGGACGTGCACAAAGAGACAATGAAACCGTGAACATTAATTCATATGTGTGAGAGAAAAGGGGTTTTTGAGGATATGCGGTGTTAGGGTTTGGGTCAATACAAAACAAAATCCCAGAGCCGGGCAGATGGTTGTTTATGGCAGGCACAAGGCAATGTGTCTGTTTATCTTGGCTTGCCTGGGGGATAAGACAGAGCAGGCTACCTCAGGGTCAACAAGGCTCCTTTCTTTTGCTAATTAGCTCCGCTCCAGGCAACTTCGCCCTGCTGAGGTCTATAACCTTGTTTACTTGTTTACCTATTCTGGTCCTTCCCTCCTGTGAAAACAGCTTTCTGCTATTGCACTATTTTGGGGCACTTCCGCCCTGATTGCCTAATGTTGGATGCTTTCATCCTGTGGCTTCCTATTCCTCTATGCCTTTGTTCTATACTGGGGGCACTTTTGCCCTGTTTACCTAATCTTGGATGCTTTCTTCCTGTGACTTTGTTAACCCATAGGTGCAAGCTCAGGGAATTCCTAAGCTTATTCCCCACACATTTTTAGCAGTCTGTGGGAGGTATCTTGACACCCTAGGTTTGTTACAGATACTGCACATTTTGGATTTTTGGTCTTTCTCCTAGTTGGTCTTTGTTTATGGGAGAGATTCAAAAAGTACTCCGCTGCCATTTCTGCTACCATCTTCCTAAAATGCTGTCAGGACAGAGCCAGTCCAAGGCTCTCTCAAACAGTCATCCCTAGGAAAGAATGACTCATCCCTCTCACTTACAGGAATCTTAATTTCCTAAGAATGATGACTGGCACAGAGGGCCCTCAGCCTCAACCTGCTTCTGAGCGTATTTTAGGGGCTGGCAGAATGTTAATGTCCAGAATTCCAGGGGCTAAGATCTGATGACTTGGTTCTTAAGTGAGGCCTCCTTGGGAGATGAGGGGAGGGAAGGCAGTGCCCTAGAACATTGCCCACTGAAAGGACAAAGCTGAGTGGCAGGAAGTTGGAGTCATGGTAACAGCGATACCTATCATAGGCTTCAGGGTAAAGGTCTCAGAGCTGTGCTGTTTTCTCAGCTCATCTGCTGATTCAGGGAGTCTGGCATGATAAGCCCACATGGGTGGCCTTCTTCCATCTGCTCCTTCGGGAGTCTGTAAGACCTGTGCTCTAAGTATGATGGGCAGGGCACCTGCCTCAGAATGGGGGAGGAGAGGGGATTCTGGTTTCTGTATCTTTGTGTCCCTTCCCAAACTGAAAAGCACAGGATGTGATGTGCCTCTCAACTGTTGAGAAGGATCCCCAGAAGAGCGCCCAGCAGCAGTCCTAATTCCCCATTATACACACACGCCCCACACACAGGGTTGACCCAATTTGAGGCTTCAGTTTTAATAGCAAAGCTGCCCCAGGCTTTCACTGGGCCCTTACCTGCCCCGCCCCTCCCTCCTCTTCTGCTCCACCCCACTGGCGTTCTCCTCCTAGGGGTACAGCACTGGGCCAGGCCAACGTGGGGGCATTCCGCCAGGAGGAAAGCCGACCTTCCACCAACAGCGGCAGCACCACCACCACCACCACCCAGACCTAGTTCAGTTCGCTTCACTGGAGAGGGTTGGAGCCGGTGAGGCTCTCGGTGGTGCCATTCTCGGGAGTGGCGGGGGCGCCCCTCACCGTCTGGGCCAGGGTGCCCCCGCGGCGGGTGCTGGACGCCTCGGAGCCGGTGGCCTCCAACAGCTTGGCGACGAAGCCCACGCCGGCCGAGCGCAGCAGGCCACCGCCGGCGCACGCGTACAGCACGGGGTTCACGCTACTGCTCAGGAAGGCCAGCGCGATGAACACGTAGCGCGCCAGGAGCAGCCGGTTCCGCAACGGCCCCGCCTCTCCGCCGGCCAGCAACCGTCCCGCCTCGGCCAAGTTCACCACGTGGTAGGGCAGCCAGAAGGCGGCGAAGGTCAGGATGATGAGCGCCACCAGGCGGCCCGTGCGGCGGCTGCGGCGGAAGCGCCGGGCCTGCAGCCTGCGGCCGATGTCGGAGTAGCTGGCCACCACCACCAGGAAGGGCAGCAGGAAGCCGGTGAGGGCCTCGAAGAGTAGATGGAAGGCGTTGAGTCGTTCGCTGGGGTACTTCAGGAAGCACACCAGGCTCCAGTTGTTCGGTGCCAAGGTCACCGTGCGGTACACGACGACGGGCGTGGCCAGCAGAAGGGACATCACCCAGATGCCTGCCAGCACCCACCAGGCAACGGCCTTGGTACGAACCTTCTGGGACACAAAGGGGAGGGCCACCGCCAGCGAGCGGTCCAGACTCATGGTCGTGATCAGCAGGACGCTGGCGTACATGCTGACTCCGCAGACATAGTGAAACAGGCGGCAGCCAGCCAGTCCGAACACCCAGGTGCGTTGGGCCACGTTGTGGAGGAAAAAGGGGGCAGTAAGCAATACAGCCAAGTCGGCCAGGGCCAAGTTCAGCACCAACAAGGCAGTGACAGAGCGCTTCTGCATCTTTACCAGGATGCTCCACACCACAAAGCTGTTGCCGGGAAGCCCCACAACCAGTGCCACTGACAGGAGGATGATCGTCAGCAGAGCGATGAACATGACACCTAGTGAGGAGGTGCTGCAGAAGATGTAGCGTCCGGGGCCACTGCAAGGACCTGGAAGGTGAGGGTGAACACAGGCATGAGGGTGGGGAACCAAGGTTTCCCGACACCCTGGACACACCTAGCCTGATGGCTGTAGCCGGCTCCAAATCAGCAGCATCAGTTGCACCTCTGCAATATACTGTCCTCACCACTGTCAACAGACCTGTCTTAAGGGGATCTGGCTGAGTAGAAACACTGATTTCCTAACTAGGCCCCGGGGCTCCTTCCTGCCCACAGACCCATTTGCAAAATGCAGAGCAACAACAG